ACACAATGAGTGATCGTTATCGATCACTCACTGTGTTCATTCCTAAACTGAAGCATAGTAAACAGTGGGGGGTTTATCAGATTGGCTGTATGGGGCCCTGTGGTTTCTAACAGCAGCCCTGGGTATAGTCCAGGCGCTCACTCGCCCCCCCCCCCCCTTTTCCTGACCTGTCGGGCTGCATACAATCCATTGACATCCGTTTTTTCATCTGTTTTGGGGTTTTTTGCGGAATAAAAAATAGGGTTCTCTTCTGTTCAAAAAAATCGGATGTTAACGGATGCAGACATTACCGGATGTAAATGGATGATCATTCATTTACATCCGCTAGTCCATAGAAATACAACGGACAGATGAAAAACGGACATACGGAACACCCGTGTGAAAGAGGCCTTAGGAGGGAAGACGTGTTGTTTGACCCACTGAAATTTGTAGGTCAACATATGAAAGTGAGGGTCCACCTAGAAACACACATGGTGGTGATGCACATTATTTAAGAAGGTTACAGCACCTGTATAACGGGCTCATGCACCAAATGGAGGATTCCTTGTGATTATCCATATATAAGAATCTTACAGCACTGGGATAGTGGGTTCACCTACCAACAGGAGGACATTTTCTGTAGGAGTGGAAGAACAATAACTTTATAATTTGTAGAGAGGCTTGCACACTTGATGGTGGATTATGCTTTATTAGAATGTCATAATTCTGGAATATCACAGATGTTTTATAATTTGTTAGCAGCTCAACACAGTTTTCTTTGTTTTTAAATTCTCTGTGTTCACTGGTGATACAAGAATCTTTGGGGTAACTGGGTGACATTTTATGCTCTGTGTTCATTGTGTGACACAGGATGTCCTGGGGTCATTGTCTGACAATGGTTTTGACAAAGAATGCTCTGGGTACTATATGGGTGAGAAGTGATGGTAAGGGGTTATTAGTTGATATGAGATGCTCTGGGGTGAACATGTGACACAGGATATTCTGTGATTACTAGGTGACACAGTATTATATGAGGTGACTGTGTGACACAGGATACTCTGTGTTGGACTTTCTTGTGTTCACTTAAGGTGATTGTAGCTGTAGTAGTGCATTTGCAACAGAAACAATTGAGTACTGTCCGTGATACTTTTTTTATTTGCACTAACATACAATTTTGAGGACAAGTTTTCGGGGAATGTCCCCTTCTTCAAGGTTCGTACTGCTTGGACCTTGAAGAAGGGGACACTCCTGAAAACTTGTCTTCAAAATTGTATGTTAGTGCAAATAAAAAAAGTATCACGGAGAGTACTCAATTGTTTCTGTGTTCACTTAGTAACACAGGTTGTTCAGGGTTCAAGGTGCGACACCAGAAGCTCTGGGGCCACTTGGAGACACATGATTTCTTGCAGTCACTGGGAAACATGGGATTCCATGGGGTCATTGGGTGACTCAAGACTCCTTGGGGGTCACTAGTAGACACCGAATGTACATATCACCATTCTTTTACTAATTTATATGGAGGAGATACACTTGTCAGACATTTATGGACTGCATTTCATTATTTTTTGTAAATTAAAAAAAAAGGGGGATTAGATAAAAGTTGAAGCAATTACGGCAGTGAGGACGTGCATTCCTCGTTATTGGAAACAGACCCATGTACCCTCTCTTAAATAATGGTTTGCTCGACTTGACAAGTTGGCAGAAATGGAAGAGCTCATACCAATAGCTCAAGATAAATATTCATCCTACTGTAAAATGTGGGCCTGTTGGTTCAATTTTAAACACACGGAATCTTGTTTGGATGTTGCAACTTGAAACTCGATTGTGCACATTTTATACTTGATAAGGTAGTTTTTTGAAGATTTACATAGCCTTCTTTTTGATCTACTGTAGCTCAGATAAAGATACTTGTATGCCTTATTGCCTACTTTTCTTAGTGCTTTTTATGCTATATTATATGCATCAGCTGTCCTGTTCAAGCTGGTTATGTATGCTATGACACCTAATGAGGGATACTAGATGGCCATACTAGATGTTCTGCACCCAGTCAAGATTGAAGATTGTGGCACCCATCATCCACGCACATTACTAGCGATATTATGCAATGGGCGCCTAAATGTCATTTAGAGGAAATTGATTATTTTCTTGAAGTATAAATTTCTTAATATAATCTAAGTTAAAGGGTATGTGAATGTTCCTTTCCACATGCCCCATCAACTTCAGCTAATTCTATAACACCACTGTACCACAAGACTTAGTGTAAGACCATAACAATCAGAAAACATCTAAGCTGGACCTACTGGAAGCTGGAAGCTATGGAATGCATTGTGACAGAAGCTGTGTTGCACAGAAAGCCACACAGTAAACAGTGTAGGGTATAGTAGGAAAGAATATATACTGAGAGGTAGAAAAAAAAAAAGAACTTAGAACCACATTAGCTGGAGGAGGTGGAAGGCTTTTGAAAGCTACCATTGAGAAAGCCAAACAAAGAGGCTTATTAATTGCTTTTGAATAATGTTTCAATTACTTGACATGGCACTAATTACACCTAAGACTTTTCCAATAAGTAAACCAAGTAATATTTGAGTTTCCCCCACAACAAATGCCCATTCCTCCAGGCCAACGGCTATGGATAGCACCCTAATATTGATGCAGACCAACCAATATCCCCCACACTATAGAGGAGATAGTACTATCCCTCTCAACCAAAGTGGTTATGTAAAAAGGGTTAGTTCGCTTACAACTGATGTTTGTTTCGATTTTCATAGATGCTGGAGTGCTAAACTGACAAATTCTGATTGTTTCCAGAGAAACTATAGGAGAGATCTTGATACTTGAGATCCCATGTGTGTAAGGATGTTCTTTAAGGACTAGTTCACACTAGATGCAGTCCAGTGTGTCTTTTTCTGCATCAAAAATGCACACACAACAAACAACCACCGAAAAAAAAAAATAAACCCCATGCTGCATTTTTTCTGCACAGAACCATACTGGAACATAGCAAACTGCAATGAACGGAGGGTGGTGTGAACTGTAAGCAAAAATGTATCCAGTATGCATCTTTGTAGTGTGAATTGGCCCTAAACGCTAAAGGCTTATTAACCTGGCTCAGTAGCATGCCCACCATGTACCCCCATAGCAAGTGCCTTTCTATAGGGGCACAAACAGAAGCAGAAAGTGCCAGGGAGGGACCCCATCAGCAGCAGTAAGTGGCAGCTCTATGCAATACCATTGCACACAGCAGGTTAAATATAAATCTCTCTATTTTAAATCAAGAATAAAAGATCTGTAGTCACTTTAACCCAATAAGAATTCCTGTTCTACTTTATTTTTTTCTCTTTTAATTTTACATTAAGGATGGGAATTGCAAATACAAAAGATGGGCAGACATTAAAGTATATAAGGCCTATAAAGAAGCCAGGGGCTTCAACTAAAGTCAATTGTGTGGACTGACTGAAATAAACCAAGGCTTGTGACATTAGGTTCTGATGCAACAACTCTAGCGTATGCAACTATTTCCAGGACAGTCAGTTAATGCGTTCATGTCATTGTCCTAAAATAAATGCAGACCATTGATCAGGGGAGGGTTGATACCATCAAAGCGCAATCACAGGTGGGTTTTTTTTTTTTTTTTTTTTTTAATATAGATCAGTTTTTCTGAAGTAAGCCGGCAGTCAGGACTTTACGTACTTGCTACAGTACCAACTGTTGAAGCAATGAAACAGCCAGGCACCAGTTAGCAATTACATCTATGTTTTTTTTTTTTTTTACAAAAACATACAGAGATGTAATTGCTAAATGGTGCCTGGCTGTTTCATTGCTTCAACATTCAGTCTTGTAGCAAGCACAAAGTCCTGACTGCCTGCTTCAGAAAAACTGCTAATTTAAACCCCCCCCCCCCCCCCCCACACACAAAAGTCAGCCAGGCAGCTGGCATTTTTAAAAACTCAGTAATGGCAACCTACATATTCCTCTTTTGAATAAGCAAAGCTTCTTTCCACAAACCTGTCATCCTGTCCCCATCACATCAGGAGTTGTGGTTATTCACAAAAGCAATCAAAATTACATTGCTGAGACATTACGCATGCAAAAGATTACCTTGAAGCCATGAGACACAGGGGTTTGAGAAATGTAGAAATTTAAACAGGCCATGAGGCTGATTTTAATTAAAACTGGAGCGTTCAAACTATGATGCTGCTGTACATGGTAGTGTAACTTCAGCTTGTTCAATTAAGCTTTGAAGAAAAAAAAAAAAAACCGATAACAGCTGTGATAGACTTGAGACTTCATATACTGCATGAATATAAACAAAAAAGTATCCAAAACAAAATTAATCCCACTCAATTTATTGATTTGCATTTAGGTCAAGATTAACAAAAAATAATGAAAAAAACCTAATACACACAGGACAGCATTAGGTTTGGGTGAAGTAGTTTCCAATTTAAATGTGTACAATACAGAAAACAGAATACATTGGGAGGGATATTTAGTAACTAAAATTGCCACTGTAACCAAGGTTTAAAATGCCAGAGCACAAAACATGCCTGTTACGTTTCTTCAGAGACATCGGAGGGGAATAGCATCCTCCATATGCTTTAAACTCAAGCAAACTTGACACATCATACAGATTTTATACGGGTAGCCTGTTTGATAGAGAAGATGGGTCACCAGTCTGTAGGCTGTTTGATGAAGCTGGGTCACCAACACCTCCACTTTGAGGTAAATACATGCTTGTTGCATCCCACAGATTTGCTGCATACATTTGTTGAGGGGGTGCATTGATTGGAGAAGAGCTAGAATCATGTTCAGTCCCCAGTGCTGTAGAGCCAAAGCTCATGGTACCAGAAGTCAGCGGAGGGTAGGTTGCTGGTATACTATACATGGGAGCTGCACTCATAAAAGTCTGAGGAGGAAGCAACATGGAGCCATAAAAACCATACCTTTGCATGGGCTGAAATGAGATCTGGTTCATACCAGGATGTTGCATGTAGCCAAGAGGCCCATGTGTGAAATATGGAGCTCTAGGATATCCATTCATGGGGGGCAAAAGGGACTGCCCTCTGACCATCTCCTGCAGAACCCACCATGGGCATGATAGTTGCAACTGAAACCTGATGAGGCAGGAAACACTGGTTATTTTCCTCAAGTTTCTTTTGCTTTCTCTTATAATCTGGATAGTCTGACATGTGTTGAATGCGCTGTCTTCTTGCCTCAAGTATAAAGGGCTTCCTTTGGGCTTCAGTGAGACTATGCCAGTTATCTCCCAACATCTTGCAGATTTCAGCATTGTTATAAGTGGGAAATTTTTCAAAAATCTTTTTTCTCTCTAGCATTGCCCACAACATAAAAGCAGTCTTAGGCCCCTTTATTTTGTTGTTCTTTGGCATAGGAGCATCAATTTTCATCCTTTTGGGTTTAGGAGCCTTGCTTTTTACCCCTGAAAGCACACTTCTGTCAGTCTTCACAGGTTTCTTACCACTAGTTCCCACCATGGTAGTACAAATTGTGCAGCTTGTAGATGTAGCCTCTCAGAAACATTCAGCAAACACTAACACCCTCCTATCTCTCTGGCTTAAAGTAATCTAAACCTCTGATTGAATGTGTATTAATTGGATTCAATCAGCCAATAATGACCAGGTCCCACAGCCCAGCTAACACTAATCATTGCAAAGGCTTATTAAACCTTTTACTTTACATTTATCACTTTTATTAGTTTACAAAAACCTGTGCAAAGAAAACATGTAAAAGTCAAGCAATTACCCCTAACAACCATCAAAATTCCCTAGAGAAACGATTGTTCCTGGAGTGTTCCTCTTTTGCACAACCTTTCATAACACAAAAACATCAAATTGCTTCAACAAACTAGGGCATGGGCATATGAATGCATACATACCCCTTTTCCTTCATGTTGGAAAGACCAGCATTTGCAGTGACAGATGTTTTACTGCAGTGTAAAACGTTTATCGCCGCAGGGACACATAGGAAACAATTGTTTTCTATACATCCGATTCTGACTGCAACGCAGCTAAAATGCAAACATGCTGCATTTTATCGCAGCGCACCATGCTGAATCGCACTCTAATATAAGCCAATGCAGTGCATCACGCTGCCCTACATTGCAGCGAATGAAGTGTATGTTTGGTACACATCACATGAAGTTTATTCAAACCAAAAAATAGGAGCCGCGTGATGCTCTGAATCGCACACCACATTGCCCCCTAGCGCAGCTGGAAACGCGGATCTGCCAAAGCAGTGAATTGCTCCTGCAGCTCTCCATTATGAGTGAATTCTCCCATGCTGAATAATAGAATGTTAGCGTAATGCATGGAATCAGAAAAGTTTTTCTTAAAATATGCAATGTTAGCGACAATGGTATTGTGATAACAAATGTAATAGTATTTTTTTTATTTTCTGATTATAGCTATATATAACCACTTGCCCTCCAGAGGATTTACCCCCCCCCCCTTCCTTCCTGACCAGGTAATTTTTTCTGATACGGCGCTACGTTACTGTAACAGACAATTCGTGAAATGCTGCACCCAAATTAAATTTATGTCCCTTTTTCCCCATGAATAGAGCTTTCTTTCGGTGGTATTTGATCGCCTGTGCGTTATTTATTTTTTGCGCTATAAAAAAAAAAAAACAATTTTGAGAAAAAAAAACTATATTTTTTACTTTTTGCTATTAAACACATCCAGTAAAAAATGTAACCACTAGCCTACAGGGCATTTATACCCCCTTCCTGCCCAGGCCAATTTCCAGCTTTCAGCACGCTCACACTTTGAATGACAATTGCGTGGTCATGCAGCACTGTACCTATATGACATTTTGATCATTTTTTTGTGACAGATAGAGCTTTATTTTGGTGATATTTAATCACCTCTGGGATTTTTAGTTTTTCTTAAACAAACCAAAAAGCACTGAAAATTTTGAAAAAAAAAGTTTTTTCTTAGTTTTTGCTATAACATTTTGTAACTAAGTGATTTTTCTCCTTCACTGATGTGCGCTAATAAGGCTGCAGTAATGGGCACTGATAGGCTGCACTGATAGGCTGCACTGATGGACACTGATAGGTGGCACTGATGGGCATTGACAGGCATCACTGATGGGCACTGAAAGGCAGCACTCATATATGGCACTGATAGGCGGCACTGACTGGCACTGATAGGCGGCACTTATGCACACTGATAAGCAGCACTGACTGGCACTGATAGGCAGCACTGACGGGCACTTATGCACACTGATAAGCGGCACTGACTGGCACTGATAGGCGGCATTGATTGGCAGTACTGATAGGTGGCACAGAATGGCATTGATAGGTGGCACTGACTGGCACTGATGGGTGACACTGAAAGGCAGCTCAGATGGGCACTGATATGTGGCATTGATGTACACTGGTAGGCACTGATATGTGGCATTGATGAGGCACTGATGGACACTGGCAGGTGGCATGGATGAGCACTGACAGCTGGCACTGATGGACACTGACAGGTGGCACTGCTGGGGCTACACAGATCATCAGGGCACACTGATCATCAGTGCCCTGATGATCAGTGTACATGTCCCCTCCGAGAAATGCCAATTACCGGCTCTCCTCTCGAGCTGTCAGCGTGACAGCTTGTGAGGAGAGAAATGCTGTTAACCAGCATTTCCCTATTTACATGTGATCAGCTGTGATTGAACACAGCTGATCACATGACCAAGCCGACACCTTTGGCTCTTTCCGTTGATCGGTGATCTGCTGTGTCCGAGGGAATGGGACGTCCTCCCAGAACGAGAGAACCACCTTGCGTCCGTCAATGTACTATATGACGGGCGCGGGAGATGGTTAAAAAAAAATCTAATTTTGTCAGAAATTTACACCAAAATGTATTCTGCTACATGTCTTTGCTAAAAAAAATCCCAATACGTGTAAATTAATTGTTTTACGTGAAAGTTATAGCATTTACAAATGGCGGTATATATACTGGGATTTTTTTTTTCATTTTTACTAGTAATGGCAGCGAATTGAGCTTTCTTTCGGTGGTATTTGATCGCCTGTGCGTTTTTGTTTTTTTTTTCGTTATAAGCAAAAAAAGACCGACAATTTTGAGAAAAAACAATATTTTGGACTTTTTGCTATTAAACATGTCCAGTAAAAAAATTTAAAAAAATCAAATTTCGTCATAAATTGTCAAAAAGTGTAAATTAATTGGTTTATTTGAAAGTTATAGCATTTACAAATGGTGGTATAGATACTGGGATTTTTTTTTTTCCCCTACTAGCAGAGACTTTTAGCGGAACTGCGGGACTGCGGCGGGCATTCTGACATGGGGGGGGGGGGAAACAACTTGGTGTCACTGATATCCCCAGTGATACCATTACAGCGATCAGTGCTAAAAAAACAGCACTGACACTGTACTAATGGCACTGGGCAGGTAGGGGTTAATGTGAGGGGCGATCAAAGGGTTAACTGTGTGTAGGGAGTGTTTTACTAGGGGCGGGGAGTGTGTGTGTGCTTCACTGTAATCACACTGCTCAGGATGGCTGACAGGGAGGAAGACTGTAAACAAAATAGTCTTCCTCCCCGCCTGTGATTGTCGGTAATCACTGTGTGCCCGTGGGTAATCACCGGCCGAGACCTGGTGATTAACGCGAATGGCGGTGCGGGTAGGGCACTCGCAGCTTGTGCACGCCCCTACCTGGAAATGCAAAATCATGTATATATACATGATTTTGTGCACCCGTGCCGTCGTGTAGCAGTATATCTGCTATACGGCGGCGGGGTAAGCTGTTAAAGAATATGTAAACCCAACGTTTCATATTCCTGATATGTGCCTGCTGTACAATGTACTTGTATATAAAAGTATCCTGTTCTCTTCATATTGCTTCCTTTGCGTAAAATACCTGGTGTTTCTGCCAATCCTTCTGCTTTCCTATTAAAAACTGACCATACTAAGCATGAGAGCTCAGCCTGCTCTCCTCCAATGATCAGACGTCTGCTGACACGTCCTCCCCACTACACAGTCATTTACTGGGAAGATCAGTGCACTGCTGTATATCCTCCCTGAGCTCCTTATACAGCTTAGAACACAGGGTATGTGATCACTTACAAAAAGGGGGAAAAAAAGTATTCATTATATTTTTACACAAATGGTTTGCCTTTCATTTACACTCAGTGGCCACTTTATTAGGTACACCTTGCTAGTGCTAAGATAATATCCCCCACATCATTGCACCACCACCACCAGCCTAAATCGTTGATACAAGGCCGGATGGATCCATGCGGTCATGTTGTTTATATGCACTCGCCATATTCTGACCCTACCATCTAACTGTTGCAACAACCAGTATGCCAATTCTCCTATGACCTCAGACATCAACAAGGCATTTTTGTCCACATAACTGCTGCTCTCTGGATATTTTCTCTTTTTCAGACCATTCTCTGTAATCCCTAGAGATGGTTGTGCATAAACATCCCACTAGATGAGCATTTTTTTAAATACTCAGACCAGCCTGTCTGGCACCAACAACCATGCCATATTCAAAGTCACTTTAATCCCCTTTCTTGCTCATTCTGATGCTCTTTTTGATCTTCAGCAAGTTGTCTTCACCACGTCTACATGCCTAAATGCATTCAGTTTCTGCCATGTGATTGGCTGATTAGCAATTTGTGTTACCAAGCAATTGAACAGGTGTGCCTAATAAAGTGGCCTGTGAGTGTATATTTTAAACTGAATGAGTTGTTTTACAAAGTGAGGGTTTACATATACTCTAATGCAGCCGTATTTAAGGAGAACACTTTGCAATGCACATCTATGCAAGTCTCCTGTGCAGGGGGCAGCCATCTTGGTTGGTTTTGATTTTATCTTTGAGGTAATTGGCTGATGCAGCAAAGCAAGGAGAAGTGTTTTTGCAGGCTGCTGAGGGCAAAGGGGACTGTTTGGAAGCAAGGAGGTATGTGGCAAAAAGACTGAGCTGTTGTTACTGGCTGAATGGATCAATGTCATAGCTGACCACAATCAGGTGAAACCTCAGAGATGCAACTTTCTCTGAGGTAGGTTTGAGGCTTGATTTGGGTGCCTGATGAGATCAGACTGTACTGCAGAGCACTCCTACCACTTGCAAAAAAGGAAAAGATGGACTGTCTCAGCAGGATTGAAAGAGAGAAATCATAGCAACTCCCATTTCTGTCTGAGGCCTTGAAAAAATTCTGAGCACATGTCCAGAGAGCCAGGTCTGGTAAGAGACTAACATTGCACAAGTTAATCTGTTGTCTGTTGGAAACTGTTGCACTTTATTCAAGGGCCCTGAATTTGCTGGCCAACATTTTTTTCTTTTTCATCATTCACTGGCCAGTGGGATAAAATGGGGACTGTTACAGTAATTTGGGATTGTCTGTATATACTGTTGCTAGGTAAATTCAGTTCAGTTCTGGTAATTTATGATCAGAATAGTGCAGATGTTTAACCACATCTCTCAGATTACGTTATTGTCTTATTGATGATTTGTATAAGTACACTTGCTAATCCTCTCTTTATTTAGGCTACACTTGGCCTAATAAATTCTTTGAAATATATCAGGTTGTGTAGGTAAGTGCTGGGTGAGTGAGGTGTGTTATCTTCAGGTGTGCACAGAAAATCACAAGACATTTCAGTGACTCCTCCAGGTTAGCGGTATAAGTGGGAGCAGGTCCAGGATTTGAATTTGGGACTAATAAAACTGATGGTCACCTCCACTAGCAAGCCACCATGATGGACCCCGTCACTGCTACCAAGTGGTGTGAAGAACAGAATGGCGGGAGAATGCTAGTAGAAACCCTAGTTCAGAACTCAGCAGCATCCAACAATTATGGGTATCGCAAGTTGAGGTTCTATTCTGGAAAAGTCCCAGTGCTATCAGGGGAAGATGATTTTGCAACCTGGAAAGATCAAGTGGTTCAGGCTGTGGAAAAGTGAGAAGTCACTACCACAGTCAAGAGACAGAATATACTGTAACTGAGAGTCTGAGAACTATTGCTTCTGACATCATCTGGAACCTAAAGTGGTTCTAAAGGCTCAAGATTTTTTTACTTTCATGTATTCTATGCATGAAGATAAAAATATCTGCAGTGCCCCCCCCAATCCTTACCTGACACCCCTCCGATTCAGCGACGTTCTCGTCAGCCTATGCTGTCTGGGGACTCTTCCTTCTCATTGGCTGAGACAGCAGTGGGAGCCCTTTGGCTCCCACTGCTGCCAATTACAGCCAGTGAGCCAATGAGGAGAGAGCAGAGGGCCAAAGCCGAGCTGCAGCTCAATGTGTTTTATGGACACATAGAACAATGGCTCGGGAGCGAACACGCAGCTGTGCCACCAGGACGATCGGCTTTCTCTGGGATCACTGCGGGGACCGAAAAGGAGAGGATCGGTGCAAAATCACTGCACTGCTGTTTTTTTTTTTAAATTAAATGAAACTTTAGTGTCACTTTAACCTCTTCACGCCGGCCGAATGCAAATGTGCGGCCTCCTGGCACCTGGGCCTAGACGCCGAGCGGCCCGCACATTTGCGTTCTATTAAAAAAGAACATATGTGCTGAGAGCGCGTGCCCTGCGCGCTCCCAGCACACATGTTCGGTACTCACGGAAAGGTTCCGATCTCCTCTTTCTATCGAGACCTTTCCCGATCATGTAACCGACGTGACGCCATGTCACAGCAGTCACATGACCCTAAACCCCGCCTCCCGACTTTAGAACCCTTAAAGGGTGAGGAGGCACCAGCGCAAACGGGTTAAAGCCCATCTTCACCCTTAGAGTTAAGTTCCCGCCCCTTCTCTACACATAAAGTGATCTACTGGATGCATTAAATTTTCAGAACCTGCAATAAGGTAAGCATGGGTTAAAAAAAAAAAAAATGGGGGGGGTGGAGATCCACCTTAAAAAGAGACAAGGCAGGCTGCACAGCTACTGATTGTCTAGAGCATAGGTGCTCAACCTGTGGCCCTCCAGCTGTTGCAGATCTAAAAGTCCCATGAGGCATTGGAAGCCACTGACAGTTACATGCATGACTCCCAAAGGCAGAGGAATGGTGGGGCTTCTAGTTCCGCAACAGCTGGAGGGCCACAGATTGAACACCCCATGGTCTACAACCCTTGCAGAAGATTTGCAGGAGAATGGAAGACTTCCAATTTGGTTTTACATGTTCTCACACACCTATCAAAATAAGGGAGAGGAGTCGTCCGCCTATGGTATGCGGCTGGATGAGATTCTAGCATTGAGCCAGGCAATGCAAGCAAGGCTTTGTTGACACAGACTCTTTAAGGGGCATTCCCATTAGATCCCATAATGTTGAAACTTCAAACCAGAGACTAGAATGAGCTGGTAACCTACTCTAAATTGTTTAAGACTATTCGAGAAGCTCTGTGTAAAGCCAAGAAAGCTGTCACCAAACGTATCTACTTCAAAGATAGGAACTATAGGCATAGCGAGGGTCCATTTTGAAGTAGCCACTTTAAAGGCACAAACGTCCCATATGATGGAGATGTCTGCCAGGATTGCTGCACCTTCGTGGGAGAATTCGTGAAAACCTATCCAGACAGAAGCACAACAAAATACTCCTATTGAGAAGCCAATGTCTGCTATAACTGTGCAGGTGTGACTGTCCAAGCCCACCAAGGCCACAAATAGAACATTAGAAGCCAAATTGGATGCCCAACTAAGTCAGCTTGCTTCAGTTCCCAGATTGAAAACAAAGGCCCATGCTTTTGTGTTAGGTCTCATCTACAGC